TCTAATACATTATATGTGTGTGTGTGTGTGTGTGTGTGTGTGTGTGTGTGTGTGTGTGTGTGTGTGTATATATATATATATATATTATTACTATTAACAAGCAAGTTTTTAAATTTCAGTTATTGTTCTTAAAACATAGAACAGTAAATAAAAAAGTATAGAAAACAATAATATCTTCTACTTACAAACTTTGTACTTGTTTGCTGATTGCTGTAATTTGTTAAGCCTTGTCAAATTCCGCATGTGGAGGGTGTAAAACAAAATCATTGTTTTAGGTTTTATATATACATTTTGAAATAACAAAAAATCATAAGTCCACTATAATTTATTTGGTTTAGTAACTAAGCTATTTGGGTCTAAAAAACTGATTTTTTGAGCTCCATAATGTTTTACTTTAGCACTTCAGTTCTACCATGAAAAGAAATGGTTCCCCTCATAAACACTTCACAGAGGCTGACAAAACCATGTGGAGGACATTCTAAGCAACCGATTGGTTATACACATGTCACTGGGCAAAGTAGGTGTATGTAAGGAAGTATTTCCAAAAATGGAAGAGGTGGGTGGGGCCCCTATCATACCTGTCTTGATAGGGTTAAAGACAAACAGAGTCGAAAGATAACAGGAATGAGATAAGAAAAAGACTACACAATCAGTGAGTCCAGCCTTGAGGGCAATGGACTGGACAAATCTCATGTGAAGATGAAGGGATAACAACACTGGATGAAAAAGAAATATGGTTGGAGCAAGAAAGTGTTGTAATGGGGCATAGAAAAAAGGGGTCCACAAACCAATTGATAAAGCAGAGGAAATTAAGATTATGCCAGCCAAAGAGGTGCCATCAACAGGACCCAAGAAGGACTATAGTATATCAAAGCAAGGACATAAGGGGGAAAAAGGAATAGAAGGATAGACATACTGAAAAAAAGATGACAGTTCTGACTGAAAGTATCAACTGCGAGAACCGAAGGATGAAGAAGTCTGGTATAAGAGTGGCAAAGGCACTGGTAAGAGGCAAACCCAATGAAAAACCTGAGGGTGAAGAGACCATTCCATGGTTAGAATCTGTCTGGCAAAGAGGTGCAATCTGCTACCAAGTTCAGAGCCCCTGACACATGATAAGCTGCAAGAAAAACACAATGGGAATAAGCCCAAAATAGCAGGTCTATTGCGTGGAAGCATAGCATCCTGGAATAAGTATCCTCTACCCTAGTCTTCTTGACAGGGATAACTTCGACTTTTGTAGAACTCAGTGTTAGAACACTGGCCCTTTCATCCAAAAGTCTGGAGTTAATGTCCAAATCATGTAGTTGTTTTTCATTTAAAAATTTAATGATTAATTTTCATGCATTTCATGTTTTTTTTTATTTCATTCACCTGAAGATAACCAATGAGCTGGCCTAAAACCTGTATGCATTTGGGTACCCAGTTTTGAAAACTGTACAGTAGAAGTACAGAGGAAGGTAATTCTAAATACTGTTTTCATGTATTGCCACTAACACAGGTAGCATTATGATAACAAAATGTAACATTCATACAAGTTCAAGCTTTTGTACAGTTAAATATTAGTTTACTTTCTGCAAACATAAAAATTCTCTGCTTTCAAACTTCAGAGCAAGATATTTTTTTGCACAAGTTTTTAGGTTTGCTTTCATTATAGAGAAAAATTTGGTGATTGTACAGTCCTCGATATTAGAGATGACATATGGCAAAGCTGTGGCATTTTACAATAAATATCAAGAAAAAAGGTAGGTAGATAACACTACAAATCTAATTTCCACTTGTAAGTTCTAATGTGTATTTTAATGTTTTGTGCACACCAATAAAAATATTGACAATTCTTTATTTAGTACCTTTTGTACATTAGTTTAATTAATAAAATATTTACTTTGATCAAAATATGATTAAAATCCAGAACTAGCACACACTTTGTCAAACTGTGCAATTTTGTTTTGCATACCTTAGTATTGGAGGGGGGACAGTGAAGCTAATTAATTTAAATTTACAGTAATTTGACATATTTTAGATACTTCTTACAGAACAAACAGAAAAGATAACTTCAGATTTTAAGTTAGTCGAAGAATAACGATTATCAGTGTTTGAAAACAAAGTTGTTAGGAATCTTCCTGAAGTTTGCTAGCATTAAACAATATGATTATCAGTGTTTGAAAACAAAGTTGTTAGGAATCTTCCTGAAGTTTGCTAGCATTAAACAATATGATTATTTTGTTACAAATTTCATTTCATTTTGCCCTTCTGTAAATATTGAATACCATATGGGCAACAAGTGACAAAGTTTATGCCTCAAGTTTTTCTTGAAAAGCTGCCTATAATTTTATTATTCCACCAAAAATATTTAATTAATAAAAACACGTAATCTAAGTTTCTATTTTTCTATCTTGGGAAGGATGCTGGTCTTGTACCCTACTCGCATATTAAGTGTGTAACTGAAATATTTGAAAGCATATCATTTTCTACTGATGGAAAGTCAAAGAATTACTAGAGAACCCACACCACCACCACCAAGTGAAAAATGTGATGGACCAATTGCTTTCAATGATTTTGGTGAAAGAATATCTTGCACTTTTGATAATTGAGATATTTGTAGGCTATGCAAGTTAATCCTGAAAGGTAAAAATTTAGACGTGATTACATAGTTATTCAAAATTAAAGAAAACATAAGTAAACATAAATAAATTTGGTTGGTATATACCAACTAAATTCACACACACAGGAATTAAAATCTCATACTTTTCAATAATCATATACTAATATTGTTTAAAATAGAAGTAGAAAGTTTTTAATTGACAACTACATAATGTAACTTATGTCTGCTGCTGTTGACATAAAAATATATTTTTTTAAATTAAAAATTTATAAAACAAAAGTTAGTACTTACTGGCTTGGAGATGAGTAATGTTCTCATCTTCAGCCCAACATGAAACACCAAAAGGTGGTTGAGTCATTAACAATGATAGCTCTTTCTTCATTCTTGCAGAACGTTGCATGTTTCACAGTCTACATACAAACACACAAATTAATGTATTTTCAAGTTACTGGACAATACAATAACAAAAAATTCTCAATATTTCACTAAATAAAATGCAAATCACAGTTTAATATGTAAGTTAACATTTTCCTAAATTTAAAATGTATTTCCAATAATACTTACCTCCACTGACACTTTAGCTATTCATCAACATTGGCTTTGCCTATCTAAGCATTGGCCTCACATACTCCAGTCTTTTATACCCCACTTAAATGCCCTTGTTAATTTGCAAATTTCTTTGCGCTCTCTATCCTGACACTATATAAGCACATCACTCAGACAGTATAATCACTTTTTTGAGACTTAACCATCCCAGTCACTAACACCGACTCTTAGTGGGGAGGAAGGGTGGGAGAGTGTCAGCAGAGGTAAGTATTATTGGAAATACATTTTCAATTTAGGGAAATGTTAACTTTCAAAACATACTTACCCTCTATTGACACTTTAGCTAGAATCCCACACTAAGAAGGTGGAAGAACCAGTGAGGAAATTGTCCATACAGAAAGCATCTGTATGGAACAGGGGTGTACCAAGACAAGAGTGGTACACAAGTGGAGAAACCACACTACATCCAGAACAGGTATGCTCATCACCCATAACTTCATATTGGTATCAAGGGTGGAACAATACATGAGTAATTGTTATAGGCCAGCCCCAACCAGATAACCAAGGTTCCACAACTCGAGGTTGGAATTAAGGGGTCTTGGTCCCTATATCCCACATTGGTGGCTAGGACAATTGGACCACAATGTGATATATATATATATATACATATATATAGATATACTTTGAATTGGATCCCAACCTGTAGCCATAGTGATTACATCATAATTTTGATGAGAAAGTAAGCAACATTAAAGTAGACAAACTTTCTCTTACACTTGAATAAGACCGAAAGGCACCACCCCAGGTTCAGAATGACGGGATCATATATGTCTTACTCAACCAAAGGAATATTACTCATCCAGTCTGGAATTATGAACATTCATCCTCACTCTCCAACCAAATGGGCAAGGAGCATTCCACTTGCCCATGGAATTATGAAGAGGACGTGGAACACCTAGGACTTGTTAGTAGTTCTCTATTGCATTTAATTATATATCTCCTATAACCAACAGAAAGTCAAGATTTTCATCTATGAAATGAAGTATTGTGTAATGTTGTCTTCTGAACAGATAATCATCAATTTCATTCAGAATGCAAATATTTTCCCACGGGAAAATGCAAGCACTAGCTTCGATGAACTTGTAATGGTTCTTGTCGCATAGTTAAAAATCCAGAAAAAATTTGAGTTAGGGGATATTGTCTACTTTTTGCATGTTATTAGTAAATGTTCTTTGGTGCATTATTTAATTAAATAATTATTTGGTGAGTTACTACCATTAGTTATATAAAAGAGACTTAACTGTCATCGACAATCGAGAGCAAAAAAAAAAGAAGATTGGGTAAGCACTTTATTTCTTGTTTTTCATATTTATTCATTATTTATTATTATAAAAGTAACAAAATCTAAAAATACGGATCTTCTTAAGTTATTTAAGACTAGATTAGGTAAAATAAGTATATTTATAATATAATTAAAATGGTTCATGAGGCAAGCACACGAGCAGCTCATAGTACCTCATGCATAATGTACTTTGATAGTGTAACATGACCTGCATGTTCTCAGAGTGATTTACAACTTATAATGGCACAGATAGTAGTTTGACATGGCTCAAAGGGCAATAAAACAATGAAATTTAATTATAAATAGAAGCTACTTAGGATAAACGAATGTAGTTTCATGCTACAGTTTGAAGTCATTTTAGAAATTAAAAAAAAGGTAATTTATATATATATATTTTTTTTGTGGGGATTACAAGGACAGTCAAATTGACTAATCCCATATAGAGATAGGGTAGAGAAAATAACCTATAAAATATAAAGTTTTACTGAAATGTATGTAGGAGGTTTTAGGGATTACACAAAGGAAATTTGAGATTTTTAGGATGAAGAAAAGTATTTTTAATCTTAACATGAAAATCACTTTGCACATGAAATATTCAAAACAAATACTTGATATATTCGAGAACAAATTTTTATTTTAGTTCATTAAAAATACTTCACTAAAAATATGATTTTCTGTTTGTGAACGACTTAGTGTTAACTGAAATACTGTCAAATTTCTTGAACATATACACACTATATTGAGAGTTATAAGTATTAAATCTATAACAACTTCAAAAGAGAAGAAAAAGGTCACATAGTCAGTTAAACTGACTAAGCTCATGTTGAGAGAGTTAAGGGAGAGATGATACATGGTACATGAGGCTAAAGGCTTGAGAGGTTGTTGAGACAAGGCATGTAGTACCACCTTAATATTTCAACGATGTAATGGAAAAGGCCATTTGGGCAGAAGGCTGGATAGCACTGGGGAGTCTAAAACCATCAGATGTTTAGGATAACTAAAAGAAGATGAAGAAATTGTCTGACTGAAACGACAGGCAATAAAGCTAAACCCAAGTAAAAAACAGGTCAAAACAAGATATGGCAAACATGTTTGGTAAGGGAAAACAAACTTCTTGTGAGGCACACCCCAAGCAACTGTAGATGTTAAATCCCAACGAGGTGGGAAGAATCTTGGAGTAGAATGTTGGGTTGAGGATGCCTCAAGAAAGATGAACAAAGATGAAGATGCAGAGGTGGACTCACTTGAAGAAACTGTAGAAGAGGAAATCATGGCTAGCCCATCCAATCTAGGCTAGCAACATCTTGCAAGTACAGGATCAAAACATAGCCAGAAATCTGAGTAACAGAGGAAGTGAGGGGAAGTCATAGATGTGCAATCCCATCCAAGCAGGACCAATTGCATTAACATCAAAGTCCTGAGGATGAGGCAGTGCAGACTCCAAAGCTTGTAGGTGATTAGAAAAAAGCAAAAGCTAACAAAGGAGGCCCAAAATGAGAACAAAGCTATCGGAAAACTGCATAAACACACACACACATACATACACAAACACACACATGCTAATGATAGAGGTGATCAAAAACAACCACACCTCAAGAGCTAAGATGTTACTCCTGAAGAAAGATACTGGAATATCCAGTGTATTGAAGTTCTAAATCCATTTGTTTCAATGGGACCACTGAAGGGATAGCATGTGTGCTCATTCCAAAAAATGCAAGAGATTTGAGGGAAGCAAACAACCCCAGAGATAGAACCTTCCCTGTAAGTAAGAGCCTGGAGCTGGATGGGAGGTGGCTGAGCCGGGCATAAAACATGGTGAAAACTTGTACAACCCAGCAGAAGACGTGTAGTGCTGATGCTATCCAAAAGACTAGATCCCTGAACTGCAGAACCTGGTCCCTGTATACAAAACATAGCTAAAGGCAAGATGAATTCACTATGAGAATGTAGAGAAAGGACTCCATAATGGACTGGGGAGAAACAAAAAATGGGTCAAATGAGAAAGAACAAAGATCATCCACGAATTTACCCATGTCTCAGAAACAACAAATAAACATGAATAAAATCCCGGAAGAAGGGGATCAACTGTCACTACCACCCCCACGATCAGTAACTCTGATAGCCATAAAATGAAAATCCACACCCCAATAGTCAGGTGGAGGTGGAAATACAACAGGGTGAGAAGATAATGGAGGTGGAGAATTGAATGGAAAGACCAACCTCAATACCAGAACCTGAAGTGCCCATGAACCTGCAGTGAAGGAATACCATGTGTCCATCAATAGTTGTAACTTCACTCTAACTGACCTTCCCCCCACCACCTAGGTTGATGCCAATCCCGTTGGTTGGTCCAAATGGAGTAACCCTGAAACTAAGGTCTGAGTCTATTCAGCTGCTATGGCCAAAGAAGGTTGAGAGGTCAAAAACAACAAAAAAGCAAATGGGTGATCATCAGAAATTATTATTAAAAACATGGCTATTCTTTAGGTTGAAAAAGAAAAATTGAGGAAGTGTTATTTTTAACAAATCTTTACAAAATTCTTTGCCTTCCTTATAACAAATAAATTAAAATATACAAGTATAATTGCATTTCTCATTGGAAAAATCAAAATATCACTTTCATTATTTTTATGTTTTAATTCTTCCTCAGTATCTAAATGTTGGCTTACAAGACATGTAATTTTCAATTTCTTTGAAAATTATAAATGCTTAATGCATTTCTATAAAATTACAACACTAATTCAGAAATGAAGAATACTGATGAGTACTATGCGGTAACTTACAATCAAAACTCAAAGTACTAATAATCTGAAACACATCAGCTCCTCTACTTTATAAACTAATGCTGAATTTCATTTAAAATTAGATCTTGCCAAATTGTAAAAATCATCCACTCTTGGAGCACAAGGTCTATATTTTAATGTTTTAAAGAAACATATCAACCATAGATCTCAATCCATAGAGCAAAAATTAAAAAAAGCTAAAGTGCAGTAGATTTAATGAGTTTTCTTTACACAAACCTATGTGGCACTTTTGGAATAGGCCAAAATAATTCAATATAATCTTCCCTTTATATTTAATTGCCATAACTGCTTTTGATCAGAGTCAAACAGACCAATCAAACGTTTTGCTACAAAAAGCTGCATTCATTTCCACAATGCCTCATCATCCATGCATAAACCCTTGAATTCCTAACTGTTGGTACGTGCACCCCATCCCTGAAGTGAGGCTTTCGTGAAGAGATGGAACTCAGGACAAGGTGGTCAGTAAAGAAACCTCATCAAGGTAGCATCCCAACTGAACAACCCCAAAGATAGAATAATGATCCAGACTAAGAAACTGGGGAAGCTAATGAGGAGATGTTTATGATCCCTTGGTTGCATAAAGACCACAAAAAGGATTACTTGTGCACTCATTCCAAAAGCATGAGGGATTTGAGTGAATGCACATTCCCAGAAAAGAAAGAACCATCTGATCAGTGGGAGAATGAGAGGTGAGGAAAAGTTAGGTTTTCTGTTCCAT